GTAGCGCACACAAGCCTCCTCCACGGGCACTCCTGCCTGCTACGCATTATGTGGTCTTTTTTGTGTGTGTCTAAAGGTATTGTTGCATAAAGTACTGGCATTGCTGACAACTGGTTGGTAGGACGGCAGTTGTGTGAGTGTGAAGGGGAGGCATGTTAGGAGGTTCTTTGTGGCAGCAATGTTGCATTGTTGTCGCGGTTTGGGGAGGGACAGGGAGACATGGAGACAGAAGGGAGAAAGAGAAGGGAGAAGGGAGAAGGAAGAAGAGGGAAGAGGAAGGGGAGGGGATGGGAGGGGAAGGAGGGAAGGGTAGGTGGTTCAATGGGTGGGGGGGTTGGTGGATGGAAGCGATGCATTCTACTGAGAGTGTCTGTGCAGTGTATTAGGGAGACATTAGTTTTGGGGTTGAGAAGGTGCTTGTGCGTCGCACTGACGTGTGGCGTTGTGATGTGGAGGAGGAGGAGGTGGTCGGCGAAAGGTGGGCTGGAGAAGTGAACTGAGGGAGGTGTACCGAGGTTCAACCTGATGGCAAGACAATTCGAACGATCGAACTGCTTTAGTCATAAATTCACGATTAAAAAAGGCCTAGCCCTTTTGCATTTTTTGGTCAGCAACTACAACATCTCGCCACCTCTGACTCGCATTATTTAAAGAAATTTAAGTAGAATGTAATAGAATAAAGTGGATTTTCATATAGTTTTACTCATTCTTTTTAAGGATCGATTGTTCTTCGTCATGGAATTCATTAACGGTGGAGATTTGATGTACTGGATCCAGCTTGTTGGCAAGTTTAAGGAGCCCGTTGCTACGTAAGCCACTTTATTCGCAGACTAGTTCTTTTGTAATCACCACCTACGCCCTAGAATGGAAGTCACTTTGACAGTCCTTTACCTATTTAAATTAGTTTTCCTCCTATTGCCTGAGGGAAGTATGCACGACACGGCCTTCCTTGTCAGCTGAAACGACCTCATGGTAGATTGTGTGGCGTATTTACGGAACCAGTCTTTAAACACTGACGTTATGTCGATCGTGACATCCCGTCTTTTAACCACTTAAAGCGACAACCTTAGCTCCTAAAAAGGAATTCAAAAAAGAAATAGTGGGTTAGTTTTCCAGGCAACTACCTCCCCCATCCTGGAGTGGGACGGTACATTCAGTGGTACATTCAGCAGTGGAACAGCATCTCTCGCTACCCTTGTCAGCCCTTATTTGCTGGCAACCCGTAGTCAGCATCTCTACTACGGCTATTCACTTGTGGTGGTGCGTGGAAATGCTACTTGACCACGAAAGAAAGCGCCTCTATAGAAGTCTCAACATATTGTAGATTCTACGCAGCCGAGGTAGCTGTTGGCATGTTCTTCCTTCATTCTCATGGCATTGTGTACCGGTACGTAAAACGCATTTTAAGAGCTCAACAATATTTTTGTGCTTTTTGAAGTTGTTCCCAAAACTAATTTTGAAGAATCTGTTAAAGCGTGAATAATTTTGCATTACAAGGAATGCTAAACGACTTCACAGGATACATTTTGCTAACAGGAATCACTTATTTAATTCATGTGACGACTAAGGCGATCCTTCTTTGCCTTATGTGGGAGGCAGTGGAATTGCGATGTTGAATGCGGGTGTCGACTTGTAGGGACCTGAAACTGGACAACATACTTCTCGACTTTGAAGGTCATGTGAAGTTGGCCGATTTCGGTCTGTGCAAAGACGGGATTGTTGGAATGGCAAAGACTCAAACCTTCTGTGGAACTCTGGATTCTATAGCACCCGAGGTAGTTGAAACCTCTGGTTCTCTATAACCCTAAGAGCTAATTCATTTAATTGCTCACGTTTTACAGGAGTCAGCTTCAAGCGAGCTAAAAGAGTGTGAAGGGATTTTATAGAAATAGGTAGGCATAATGTATCAGAGCGAGATTGCGGAGAACCTGCTGGACCCACGTAGATCATGTATTAGTGCTCTCCTCTACTGCATGATCATACTTTGGTGAACAGATACCATATAACGGAATTTTTCGTTTGTTTAGGTAATTCGGCGCCAGCCGTACGGGATATCGGCAGACTGGTGGTGTTTCGGCGTATTCATTTACGAAATGCTTGTTGGTCAGGTATTAATCCCACTCATTCCTTCCCTCTACCATTGCATTTGTCAGGCATCGGATGAAATTCGGATTAATTTTCACAGCTAATGTCAAAGTGTCATGCTTTTGACAACTGCTGGTATTCAGGGTTGAGAGGTAGAAAGAGGTAGGAGTTGATTAGCATGGAAGGCATGACAACAAAGGGTGCAGTCAAGTCCTCTTGTGTCAATTTGAAAACAATCCCATCAACTTCCTCCAGTTTGCATTTTTGTAAAAAAAAACTCATAACGTTTACAGCTCCCTCATTGCGGCGTTAATTGGGAGGCACCTCGACAGTGCTTATTCGCGCCTACTTCCAACACCTCACCGTTAGTAGAAAGATATGGCCGATCAACTTTCCAGCAGTTATTACTGCCTCATCGAATTTTACAGATCGTTTTTCGCGCTTTTACGGGCCTGCATTTTTGCGTCTGTCAAACCTGTACTCCATCACTTTCATCCCGTGTAAGAGAAATTACTCAAAAATGCAGTCAGGTCTTTGACAGGTCTTGTTTACAATGCAAATTCCATGGTGACTTCTGTACTTCGTTGGTTCGAATCACCTCAACTTAAAAGTGTGGATAAAATTTGCCTTACATGAGGCGCGCTTTATGATGTACGTCGTCAGCATGGAGCGGCACCAGATGTTGTTTGTTTGCGGCAAGTGGAGAATGAAATTTGCTCTTGGTGATGTTTACAAGGTCGATGTCACCTTATGTTTATGAAATTGGGAAGTCGGAACTTTGAAATGTCCCCATAGATTTGAAACCAATTAGTGAACCCAATTTTGCCTGTTTTGTGGCACGGCATTGTTTTGAGGCTCTCCCGACAGAATATGGATTGCCATGGACAGAACTGTTGCTGGCATGCCCCGAAGGTCGTCCCGTGAGTCATGCACAATGGTGGGGCCTCTTATATCCGTACACTTAAAATGATGAGGTGAATGGGAGACCGGAGTTTAGGGCGTCATTTTGAGGTGTTGCATTATGCATGCACAGGTGGTAAGTAAGTCACTGGGCACTGAGAATTCAGGTGGGCACTTCGTCAGAACCATTAGGTTTAGAGTTTGTTCAACCGGACTTTCCCTAAGTTAGCACAGTTGCTCTCAGACCTTCACAACTTACCCTCCGTGGTATGGAATAGTGCCATGGAAGCTCAAATCTTTTTTGCATTACACTGTTGATAGTAATTACACGTAGTGCAACTTTTGGCCTAGCCACCATTTTCAGGCGAGGATGAGGAGGACCTCCTTCAAGCTATCCTCGAAGTAAATCCCTCCTTTCCCCGCAACCTGTCCAAAGAGGCTCTCAGCATCTGTCGAGGCGTAAGTGTCATCGGTTATTCAATTTCATTCTGTACATCCCATTTACGCACATCAAAGAAGGTTTAGAATTGTCAGTAGGCTACAGCATTTGGGTTTGTTCATGCCTTATTATGCACTCCTGCAGTCATAGCATTTTTGCAGCATTCTGCAACCAGCAAAACAGGAGTTTGTTATAAAGGTCGTTGCAGCTCTGACATGACTGCGGGTCTAAGAGTCCTTTCTAAGTAAGGAAACCTTAGGAGGGCTTCCATAATTAATGCAATCTGACTTCCTATGAACCAGCATGAAGTCGCGCTTATTGCCCTTTTTTCTTGTCAATGTCAAAAGCGAATGCTTCTTTGTGAAGACATACTGAAGTGCATAGCAAAAGGATACAAGATCCTCATTCTTGGACATTTTTTACAGGTTTTCCATACCAAAATTCGAGAACAATGTAAACGCGAAAGTAACTACCGAGAGTTGTTAAGGATTTTCTTTCGGCTAGTCACAATTCAGGCTCTGATAGACGGTTGAAGACATTTAGGGAGAATGGAACATGGTAGGAGGAGATTGTAGACATTTAAATGCACAATTCAATTTCCGGTTTTCTGAAAGCATGGTGTGACTGTGCGAAAAGGAACGTAAAAGACTGTTTGGACAGGAAGCACAAACCATGATTGTGTATTGCCATGAGCTTCCCTTCGTCGCCACATTGTTTTGACATGGAGACCAACTTTTTGGTTATGTGCTTTAGGCACACAACCTAGTTTTGCAGTTTTAACCCTTGAATGGCAAGAACGCGGTTGACTGTGGTCGTTCAATGCTTCTTGTTTTAACACAGTAGAGTGAAAGAGTTATATAGAGACTAAAATTTTAGTCCTGTTTTGTCTAGATAAACAGGTGTATTACACTCTTTCTCACATCCTTTCCACAGTAGAAACCCTCTAAAAGAGGTCAAATCTGTTGGAGATTTAATGTCTTTCATTGCCATAGGCGAACTTAGGTGAACTAAATACATTTTCTTGACCCAGTTCCTTAACAAGGATCCCAACTCTCGTCTCGGCTGCAGTCCAGCAGGTAGTCTAGAAATCCGCGATCATGTCTTCTTCCGAAGGATAAACTGGGAGCTGATTGAATCCAGGGCTATCCAACCTCCCTTCAAGCCCTGCGTGGTAGGTGGGAAAGACACAGATTACTCTGTCTCTGCTTTGATTCCTATCACTTGAAATGCGTTTCGTGGCAACATTATTTGGAGAGCACTTGGATTCGAACTTTATTCAGCAGTTACAATGCCTACTATGACTTTTTAATGGTTTGATTACTCTGAGACTTCGAGTGGATGTTGTAACACGTTCAAGCTCCTTAGCGGAGGTCCATTAACATCGGCATCCTAATTAAATCTTCCTGAGATCCGTTTTCACGCATGCCCTTTAAGTTGCCTATCCTTTCGTCTAACAATCTACATACGAAGAGGAGGATACGAAAAAGAAGTTTTGATCGAAGTAACTAGGCGGACCTACGATATGCACAAATTACCAAATTCCTCACTTTTAGCGCGACAAAAGGGACACTAGCAACTTCGATTCCGCCTTCACCGAGTTGCCGACGGAGCTCACACCAACGGATAAGCTCTTCATTATGAACCTCAGTCAAACCGAATTTGAGGGATTCTCTTTCGTCAATCCCGAATTTGTGATTGAGGTGTAAGCGCTGTTCAGTTGTCAGCTCTGTCAAATACCGAATTCCACACACACTCTGTGCCTCAACTCCAATTGTATAAATATCTTTTTTTCCCATGTGGCTTTCTCCCACTCCTAGCCCCTGTAATAAATCTTTAGCTTAGTTGAAGCAATAAATTTACTCTGTAGCATCCCCACCAGTTCACAAAAGGTTTAAGTTTCCTTTGAAATTCCCTTCGGATGAACGTCAGAATGCTAAAAAGAAAATTCGTATTTTGGCATAAGCGTTCATTTTAGTTAGCTAATCATTAGCAAATGGCAAATTGTAATGCCTTGAAAACTCTGTATCACACTTGTGTTTAAGCCAATTCATCTAAGCCGCCAAAATGCACTTCCCTTAACTGACAGCACATCCATTTCAATCTTTCCCTCCGGACTCGGGGATTTGAGAGAGGTGTCAATGCGTGAAAGAACTGCGCCATTAATACCCTTACCTTGATAAGTTCTCGACAGAAGTGGAGTTGGTGACTCGTGTCAACGACTACAGACGCATGTTAATCTGATCCACCAGTTAAAAAGGGCACAGATCATAAAGATTACCATTTAAAACGTATGAATAGTAATTGATATTAGACTGGAAACTCTAATGCCTCGAAATTCAATGCGGATAGTTTGCGACGTAAAGAACAACAACCTCGGCTGTTGGGACTCTTTTAAATACTTACTGAACAGAAATGACGTTGATTAGTGCGTCAATGGCAATGGAGATTTGAATGGCAACTGCCACTGAGCACAGAAAAGGTCTCCCAAATGGTTTGTCCACCTCCAGTTCCGTGGGATTAATACGTGATATGCCCTTCACCAAGGCAGCAGGGAAGATGCAAATGGACACCGAATGCACACCGATCATGCGCTGTGTAGATGGCATTAAGAACGGCTTTTTTCATCTACGCAAGTGCTTAGCTGCATCACAGCAAACAGACCTTTTTAATGATTGCAGCTTCGCTGTGATATTGGTTACTGGAGCCAGTTTAAACTGCTCTTTGCATTCTGGAATCTATAAAAAATTGTAATTTCTTGATGAACCTGCATTTTTACCAACAACTTATTCTTCAATTCCAAAATCTCACATCTTCGAGTTGATCTCTGACACATTTGAGTAGCGACTGACAGATTGCAGACGAATAACCACCTTCATAAACAATGGCTTACCAGTAAGCTTTTGCTTGCATTTAAAGTTGGGCAAATTTTTTGTAAAGTCTGTTCTGACACTTGAACAGTTGTATCTTCCCCGAACTCGACTTCTGACTCCTGCTTTAGCTGGTGCTGTTTATGACACAGCAGTCGTTCTTCCGACATGCTGCGAACGGTCCCCAACCTGACCATAGAGAAAACTGTGCCACAGCCAAGTCAACAAGTCCTTTCGCAATGGACATTAACGACCAGGTAATTGACTCAAAACGAGGAAACAAAGGCGACAAAATAAGGGTTCAAGGACTTCACACTTAGCATATGAAAGTCAGATTTGAGGAGGGGCCCTTTAATCCTTAGATATACAATATAAGATGGACAAAAATGTGAGAATTTGAAGATTTCTTAATTAACTAAAGTTCCAACTTAAAAGAGGTGCCCTATTCTTGGCTTGTACTCAGCTCAGAAATTTGAGTCGAACCGCGCTTAATGTTGACAAATCATTTAAATGAAAATTTATTTGCTATTGAGTGCCAAGACCAACATCGAATGGCGGCACTGCTTCAAGTAGTCAACTGGTTGAAGGGGGTTTCGATGAGAGTGGAAACTATCAAATTGTTGAACTATGTCTTCAGGAGGGAAGAAGAGCTCGTACCACCAAATACTGCAAAAGAGAGGGTGGAACTTCCGCACATTTCTGCCTGATTGTGTACGCTAAGATTTGAGCCCGAAGTAGACTTCAACTGCAAGTCTAGTGAGAATTTTCTACTTCATTCCTCCCTTCCAAAATCTAAATTACTTTGTATTTTTACATTCAAAAGGCGAAAAGTCTCATTGATTTTGGAGATGATCTCCATGGGAATCATAAATTGGTTAACAGACGCGAATAGAAAATCGGGAGCAGCATGATACAACCAAATGTTTCGACATGACAACTTTGGTCTGTTCACAAGTTGAGAGCTGTGTCGGTCTAAAAGTGGACAACGGTTTCTACAAGGACAATATGAAATGCTCCAAAGTGCAACCGAGATTTCAGCTTTGTCATCTACACTTGCCACTTTAATTTGATTCAGGAATGTGCACAAAACGCTTGGAAGTAACAGAGCAGAAAAATTGGGCCATGTCTACGTGAAGTGCAATTCCTATGCCAAAGGACTCAATGAATTGCGTCAGAACTGAGATGCGGATAATTATAGCCCTCCAAGCTTGTCGCAAGTGCATTCGACTACTTTTTATATGCTGGGCAGGAAGGAGTTCGCACCAGAATATATTTATATGCAATGGAAACATCGAGCTCTAGAAGTAGCAGTGACCAGGGCATTGAAGTGCCTCCTCTGCCCTTCGCCTTCTTGGCGCTCATGGACTCCCAAGAACGTCTGTCCACGCTTGAAGTAGGCCACTTCTCCTTTACTGACACCAAGCCTAATGGTGATGTTGAATCTGTTTGAAGACGGTATGTCTGTGAAGATACGAAGTTGCGTGCTGCTCAGCAAGCAAACAACAAGCTACCTCTATTTTACATCACCAAACCCCACTTCTCCCTTCGTTACGGCAATGCATGTCCATCTCTTGCTCAATATTTACTCTTTAAGGTCGAGGTAAATCCTTTCTAAAGCAACAAGAAAAACAAAATAAAACTAGAGAAGGCAACAGCAGCTTCTGGAACATGGGGGGCCCTGCGCATGAAACCAATTTTTTCCAAATGCATTTGATGTCTGATGACCTCCTGACCTTGTCGTTCGCGAATTCTTCAAACCGCCCTCCAGTGTGTTAACTGCTACTACTGATTTCGCATCAACTTTTCAATCCAACTTTCTTTTAGTTTATACGGACTCTAAGTGTTTTAAATGGAATTTAAGAGTGAATTTTTAAGCGCTCAAAGTGGATGGAAGTAGACATTTTTACCCCTCTCGAAGCCTGTACTGCTCGTTGACTGTTGGTGCTCCAGCCAAATGGTCATCCAACCCAAACTGCAATGGGGAAGACAGTTTAGATCTTAAAAGTTATAATTTCACCCAAAGTGGAACGTCTTTTAATGCTCGGAGGTAGATCGGCGTCCCTTGTCTTGATGAGGTAATGATACTGTTCAATTTACGACTGATCAAAAGGTGTACCTTGCCGAGAATTTACTCAAGAGAGATTTTTGTGTTCCTTTCTCTGTTCTCTTTTATATTAAGTAGTATTTTTAACATTGATTAAAATGCACTGCAGCGCCAACTGTCTGCACCGGAGGAAGAAGGAAGATATAACGCTGGGAAAGTGCATTGCCTTTGTAGAGGCGAACCGAGTTGCCGTCGACACATCCCATTGTCGATGGTCCCATTCGATTAAATTAAGACTGATCAATGCAGCCCTGCGTCTGTTGGAATGTAAACTACTGCAACTTTAAAGTTCTAAGCAATACTTCCCCTGTCTAGGATGACGACCATTTGCGCAAGTTATAAGGTCGACTTAATGAGCCGTAACTTGAGTGTGTTTACAGTTGGCTCAGGTCTAGCCTCCTATAAGTCAGGAGTAGTAAACACTTTGTAGGCTCTCCTCCAAACGGCCTTCGTTGCCAGCACAGGCAAAGTCAAGCGCAACCTCAGTAACTCCCTTCAAACATTTCCCACCTATGATAAGTTAAAATCCAAAAATTCACTTCCATGCATTCGATGCTTCCCTAAACCTCACTTTTCAATGTGCCAGCACCTTCTAGTTAATGTCAAGGGATACCAACATGGTAGTTGCACGTCTAGTCACTTTTGGCAAAAATGCAAGATTATGCGGACAAAAATATTAAAATCATACCTTAAAAGAGTTGGTATTTAAGTATATTTTCGCCCATTTAACATAGGGCACTATGTATGAGACAATTTGGTCGTCAAAAGGAATCCACAAAGTCAAGCCTAAATCGCACACAAAATTTCCGCTGACAAGTGGTCAAAGGTCAGCATCCATGTTGGAGAGCCTTTTGAAGAGATCGAAAGCTATAGAACTAATAAACGAATGAGGGGATCGAGTACTCATTGTTCACCGGCAACGAACGGGAACAGTTGTTGGCACTTCACCACTTCATCGGATCGGCTTAAACTGTTGAAGATGATCGTGTAAGTCCCCAACACTAAAGAGTTACATCAATGCCGCTGACTCTGTTACTGTTAATTTTTCATTTTAAAAACTGCGTTTAAGAAGAGAGGTTTTGAAAAACAGAGAGTACAGGCAGGAAAGTGGGCTTTTCTTTTCACTATTTCGCCCCAAGGGTCCACTTAAAGCGAAAGAAAGGAGGTACCAACAATTTGAAGATTTTCATGAAGGAAGTTAACCAAAGCAGGTGACAAGCTTTCAAAATACAGATGGAAATTTTTGAAGACATGCATCTACGATGATTGGATACCTTATTGTAAAGTAGAGGTGATGGTTGTAGGTAGCAGCTGCCAGTGATAAGAAGCTAAAATATGAGTTACTCTCGACTATTTAAAAAGGCCATGCGCGCATTACAGATGACCGACAAAGAGGTATCAATTCCAGTACACTTTTGGTTAGACGCCATTTCCTTTTTTTGACTTGATGTAACTCAAGTGGGTCATTACATTGTTAGCCAATACCGTTGCGGAGGTGTGAATTCAAAAACACGAAAAGCGGTGTGGCTTGAAGGTTTGGAGGTCATGCAACCTTAAGAGCCCATCAAGACGACTTGGCCTACAGTCGAAATTGTTCATACAAACACAGAGTGACCTTCTCCCGTCAAATAACGAATAGCTCCTCGAATGATTTAAACTAATGATCAGTATTACTGCAAAGCCGAATCGCTGGGTTAATTCATGCAAAAGTCTTAGTTTAGCTTGTTTAACGGTT